GTTGAGAGAGAGAGGCTCAAGGAGGTGAGAGAGAAGGAGAGAGCCGCCAAGGTGGCTCAAAAGGAGGCTCAAAAGGCAGCCCGGGAGGCTAAAAAAGCTATACAATTATCCCAAAGGGGTAAGCGCAAAGCCTTATAAGGCTCCTCTTAAAAGCAGAAGCGTTAGAAACGTGTTGTTGTTAATTTATCTTATGTATAAGCTAAGGTGGCTGCACTAGCTGTCCTAACTTAGACCACCCGCTACAGCTGCACTACTAAGCTACTAAGTAGATACAAGTAGCCTATTATAATCGCAATGCTATAATTACTACAACACTATAAAATCTTGTAATAATAGCGACTGTAGGTGGCTGTACAGCCTCATCTTTTGCAATAGGTTTTATGGTGGGGTGGGTCATTGCGCGTCCTGGGTCATTGCGCGTCCATGCAGGTTAACTGTTTTGGATTTTGGTGCCTGTTTTCTAAAACTCGAAACCTAAAACGCATAAGTGCTCCCCATGCAACCAATGAGACTGGAAAATCAAAACAAACAGCTCCTACCATCAAAACTCATTATCCGTAATACGAAATCTCCGTTATGACATACTTATTCTTAAATTAAATACTTAGATTAATATACATATTTTAATAATGTAGGTCTTGAATTTTTATATATCTACTCAGGTTTGCTAGAACTGCAGGTGTGCAGGAGGTAAGCGGGTAGCGATTTGGCTATTATTCTTGGGTGGGGTTGTGTTGCTATGAGTGGCCGCCATTTTCCGTTTTCGTCGGTTGTGTGGGAGAGTGCTCCAGTTCACAAAATGCACTAAGCCGCACCTGGTTTAGCATCGGCTATCCGGATATCCAACCGGACAGCTAAACTTCAACCAGAAAGCAGCTACTCACTATCATCGCGGAGTTTGCTTTCTGTTTATCGAAAATCATTAGGCATTTTGGGATGAACTGAACACCTAAACTTTTGATTCCTAATTTCATTCTTAACTCCAGCAACTCTTCCCATAGTTCCATATTACATACAAGCATGCAAAACATTGGTCACAATGCGCAAAGTGAGGGGTTGCTTCCAGCAGCGCGTGAAGCGAAAACATAGCACTTTCAACACTTCTGGAGAAGCATATTTTGAGACATTTCAGATTCTTCTTATAACACATCAATGAAAAGCATTAACTGGGTATATCTGTATCTGAATACGGATCTTCTGAATTATTCGTTGTGAACATCTGTAAGGTGGCGTTGCCGGTGCCGCCTATTCCGAAGGAACCACAGCAATGAGACTAGCATAACAACTGCAATGACACCGCATATCATGCCTGCTAAAAGCTGCGGCGAAGTATTTCTAACTTCCCGTGGAGCATACTGGCCCGCAAATGTGACTTGCGCAAGTGTCGGAAGATCAGAGGCGATGATGGGGCTTACAAGGGAGCGTGTGTGCATAGTGGCGTGTTTTTGTGTTATGTGCTTATTACTAACATTTTCCGCACTTCGAAATCTCATGTGTTGTCTTTCTTTTATAGTAAGATCCCATGTCAGTACATAAGACGAAGGGAAGAACCCATAGGAAAGAAACCACATAACGGCAGGAAGAATAGAAATTTCATTAACGGTAATTGCATTCTCAAATATCAGACGACAACAGCCTATGATTGAAATCTTGTAAACGTTTCTCTGTAAAGAGATACTTTATTTCTTGTGTATGATTTATGATGTTGTTAGTCAAGAGAAAACAATACATATATAGCAACAGGTAGCACAGTGAAAAGTATCGCCTCATATCCTCTTCCCCCATGGCTCAACTACAATGCTTTAGGATTTTGGTAGCTCTATCTCTTGTAGTGAATATCGCTACGCACAGTTGGGTAGAGCGACTATATGTAACAAAGGGGGGTGAACCAATCGAGCCACCCGGCTACCCCCGCGGAAATGGTAAGCAGCTGTATCATGTTGGGAGCATAGGCTAATTTGTAGTTTTACGCACACCATCTTTTAGAGATGAGGATATGACATATCGCCTCCCTCCTGCAGAGCGCAACGAAATTTGGCAAAGTGATCTCGCATGCAAATCTAGTCAGATAACGTACAACCAGACAACCGGAAGTCCAAGTCTTCGTGCACAACCAAACGATACTGTGATACTTCTCTACCAGGAAAATGGGCATGTCACCAAGGTAGCAGATGATCCTGGTCATGCGACTTCTGGGACAATTGCAGTATTTGGTACGTTGCACTCATTGCCTACTGACACCCTGCAGTACCTCGCACTACCTAAAGACGATGGAGGGGCATACGATCTGCTAGAACTGGCTAGTTATGATGACGGGTTATGTTATCAGGATAACAAGACGCCTATTGCCCTTGAACGGCAATCTTTACATCATCGACCTTCTCTTCCTGAGGAAGGGACAGATGTCTGGTGCGGTATAACCATTCAACTGCCCAAACATGTTCAAAAGGGTCAGATTTATACTTTGGTGTGGGTCTGGAACTTCCAGGGAATCGGGTTTGATGAAGTATACACAACGTGCATAGATATTATTATGTATTAGGTAGAAGAATCATATATAGCGGATAGGTAGATTGACTTAGTTCATTTCCACCAACATATGATCGATACTGTGAAAGTTGAGGAGAAGTCTACGTAGCCATTGTCGCAAAGTGTTCAAGCTTCTCGTCAATCTCTAATGAAAATTAACGCAATTTCTTAAACGGTGTTGCATCACTAACCATCACAAATGCTGCTAAACTCTTCCATGTTTTGATTGATATGTATCATCCAGAGGGGCCGCGACTTCACCTGGAGCAGAAGTCTGTCTAAAGCACGGAAATCATTCCGGTATTGCTGGTTGACCCCATACACTGCTCGAAAGGCCCAACGATTAATGTGTGCTTGATGCACCGCCAGCGCTGAGACACATAGCGAGCAATTGCAACTCGTAAGGTCCGTCCCTGCGTGCCGAAAAACCCTATGTGCCGAAAACGACCAATCAAGTCGCAAGGCTCATGGACTTCCCTCTAAACGTCGCGATCCGAGTGGTCGTTTTCGGCACATAGGGTTTTTCGGTACGCAGGGACGGACCTTAGTCTGCATTTTTGTAACAACTGGTATGGATTTGATAATGATGCTGAATGTAATCAAGAGGAATTCTGAAGAGTGTTTATTGGAGAGATTATCCTTCATCATTTACATATCTAGAATTATGGACCACGCCTAGACACTAACTGAAAGAATCCAAGTGGCGTCGCCTAATGGCACTATGACTAGTATGAATTTTGAAAATCAAATCTGGAAAATGGAAATGAGCAAAAAATGAGTAAAAACGAATTTGATTGTTAGCTAAACAACGCAGAAGACTAGGTACAATAAGAAATAGTATGCTATCATTTGATGGAGTTGACGAAATGCATAATCCAGTATAACAGACATCCAAGCGGCAATGAAAGCTCATAAGAGATTTCTCCGTAGTTTAGATTACCTTGATGAACAGCCCAGAAATAGAGTACTCGATTGCGATCCTTATGTGAGTACAAGCCAGCGCGGGGCACGGGTTTATCCAGCAGGCTATTTAGTTTCTCCCCGCTCATACCATAGCGGTAGCGTAGATGAATACTGCTATGATAGAACCTAGCCCTTGATCTAATACTTGGGATGATATGCATAGGTTCCTTCTCGTGCGCAGCCAACAGATGTTCAAGGCGGCCTTTGACCTCCTCGGCTATGTTAGAGCGCAATGTTGGACCTGGCACTCGTGCGTCCATAATACAGTCGAACAGAGCTTGTTGAAATAGCATCTCCCGTTGCCGAATGATGCTGGACACATTTTGGGAGGCCTGGCATGATACATTCGCAATACAAGCAACATCACCCGCCAGGTTAGCATGATTTGTGCTTTGCGTTGGTGTAACAGAAGGCGGAGTATCTGTTGGCGGTGGACTAAAAGACGAAGACACATGCGACTTCTTAGGACGCGGCGACGGGTCCTTCTCGAGAGTCGTATGCTTTTGAGACGCTGATATATCTACGCCACATTCTGGAGATTCCGCAGGTGACTCATCAAGGATACGAGCTTCTGGCAATGCGACTGAAGTGTTGGTAGAGCCTTCTTCCTGTGACTCTCTGTCTATGACTGGTTCCACCGAGAGCGTCGTATCCGCACACTCTCCCGAGGATGCAGCCGTTGGATTCGTTTCAAGGCTTTTTCGTTGAGTGAGCGAGGTTTGTGAAGGGTTCGGAGGCCCATAGTAAGCTATATTATTATTATTATTATTATTCCATTAGAGTCTATCTGCAGTCAGTGACTATGTAAGACTTTGGCCAGAGGCCGTTCTAGGTACAATTTGATTAAAGTGAGAGTGTTCTCTGTATAGTACTGCTATTGTGCTGCGGTTTAGTCGCTTCTAGCTGCGCTTAAAGCGGACTCCAGTTGCTGAAGAGCAGTTTAGTAAACAGGAAGAGATGTTAGAC